AATATAACCTGATTACAAAGAATAAGGCTGACAAGGGAGAGAGGATAGGAGACTTTCCGATTTGTGTCCTTTTTTATAATATTTAAATATATGATTATTAGGTTCATCCGGCTTTTTGAAAGAGTTTTGTTTCGCAAAATGTGAAATGATTTACGCCAGTAATTCTACACTGTACTGGTCAATCATTTCGACGCTTTCAACAAGTCCGTAATTGCATCTCGACTTCGATTAGGGACCGGCAGAAGGGGAACGTAGACGATAGTGTCACTCTAGAAACCCAAACATAAAAGATTTGCTTTTCGTCCGCTGTTTTTGTTGGAACACTAATCTTCCGGAAGCAAAATTTAAAGTTTCGGCTGAACAAATCTAATGCCACGGTCCTTCCAGAAACTTGAATTCCTCGACAAAAAGTGAAAGCATCGAAATATGAGCAACAACAAGACGACTATGGTGAATTCCCTTTTTTGGGAAAACATGGGCCAAATACTTTATTTTCATTATCTCTAAACCACTGGATTCCTGAAGTGCTAACCACCTTGTTATTTCTGCCCTTATGCTTCGCATTCAGTAATAGGAATATTCGAAAAAAAAAACTGATGGCAGTTTATTATGCTTCATCACGACAGTCTTGTGGGATCCAATCTTCCAATTTTGCTGACTTTTCAAAAATATTAGCGGAAGGAAATCACAAGATTGAGAAATTGTCGATGACTGCTGTCGAAGAAGTTTCGGGAAGTTACTCAGAACCGGATGCAATAACAAATAACTTTTGTCGTGCGAGAATTAGCTGGATGCTGGTGGACTGCTGGGAGTGCTAACTTCTTCCGGAGACGAGGAATGAAATGCTGCAATAGCTCGACAGAGATCCGCAACAGCAGCTTGGGTCTGCCATCGTTGCACTGTAGTTGTTGCTGCGTTCAGTAGTAGTGGCGCGATCGCTATAAAACATGTTGTAGAAGCTAAAAACAGAGTCGAACAAATATTTAAGTAAAAAATCTGATTACTGGTCCAAACGTGCTAATAATTAATTTCCTTGAAAAGTTTTCGAACGAAGTAGTAAGGAACTCACAACGG